AACTTGCAATAGTTTGGCTTCTGACCTTAAACGTTATGGTTGCATAAATTAATATCCTGCCATTAGGATTAAAAAAAAAACCTAAAGGGAGAAATAGTGAAATATAATAATGGTAGGTGATTTCTTTGCCTCCTTCCTAACAACGGATAGGCCATCTAGACAGAAAAAGAAGCAATGGGACAAGTCACTTGACTAATACCAGCATGAAAATAGGGCAGGCAGTCATATATATATATATATATATATATATATATATAAGATGCTTCATTAAGGAACAAAATATATATTTGATTCAAGTTATTATGTTATGTTCTCTAGTATATTATAGAACTTAGAGAAGAAATAACTTTTTTTCCCCTTTTCATTTGTTTATGTGTTTGTTTGTTTGAGGGAGATTGGGGAGACTGAAGCTATGGCTGAGCAGCGAAGAGCACTTACTGCTCTTGCAGAGACCAGGAGCTTAGTTTCACCAGCATCCACATCGGGCAGTCGACAACTACCTGTAAACACAGCTCCAGTAGATCTGATGATGTCTTCTGGCTTCCAGTGGCACCTAGGCATATGTAGTACCTATAAACCCCTCTACACACACTCGCACACATGCACATGAACACACACATGTGCACACACGCACAAGCATACAACACACACGTCCACACACATGCGCACAGACGCACATGCATGCACACACACGTGCACACACGCATGCATACACACACATACACACGCGCACAACACACACGTGCTTGCACATACACAACACACACATGTGCACATGTACACACATACACAAACACAAATGAAAATAAAAGAAATACTTTTTAAAAGAAGAAAGACATTATTGTCAGGCATTTTTTTTCAAACACAAATGAAACTATAAATCATAGCAGAAGTAACTTTTAAAAATTCAAAACATGTGGAAATGAAGCAGTGCCATCCTAAAAAACTCAATGAGTCGAACAAACCCGCAGGGGAGAAACATAAACATACTTAAAAAGTGAAAATTAAATCAAACCATCCCAAAAGCTATGACAAGCAACAAAGACAATCATGAAATGGAAATTTAAAGCAATAAATGCTGACCTTCAGATAAATACTGGGTATAATCATGCCTGCTTGTGCCCCTGGCGCTCAAGAGACTGAAATCGGAGGCTTAAGAGTTGGAAGCTAGTCTGAGCTGTACAGGGAGACTCTATCTCAAGACACCATAACTAAACAAAAGGAAGGTAAAAAAAGATCTCAAACAGATTAATAATGACACCAAGGAACCAAACCAGAGCAACAGTCATGGCAATAACAGTAATTTCAATGTCATCAGAAGGCAAGAAAAAGTAAATGTTGTTTTTTCTTTCCTTACAGTGGCCATGCTTTAGACTACTAGCTGGTGAAGGGTCCAAGAATAAGAGCATAGAAATGCAGAGTCCAGAAATAAGAATGTAGAAATAAAGAAATGAAGTTGTAAGCCTAGGAGAATGAGAGCAGGCTGCCAGAGGCTTAAGGATTAACTATTAACAGTGGATTACTTTGCTTTACAACCAACCCAGAGCTCTGTCTGCAAACTGAGGGTCACTCTGCAAACTGAAGGTCAGCTCTTAGAAAACACCTGGCCACTCATGATCCATAATTAATGTGAGTTAACTTCTAAATGATGGGATGTACCTGACTTTTTGGTTGTGCATTTTCCCATACCCTTCCTTGCTACACAAAACTGGCAGTAACAGGGATGTGTAGAGTTTTGGTAAACACCATCAGCAAGTACCAGAGAGAAACAACGGGCTAAGTACATACACTAGTTTAACTTAAAAACAAACAAAAAATCATTAATAGAAATTGCAAAAAAAAAAGGGCAATTTATATTTGAGTTTTACCTCAAGATTTTAAAAATTCTTTTGTTCATGCCTAATGCTTGCTTCTTGCTATAAAGAGGGAAGTTTGGAAACAGCCCATTGCCACTCTTACAAGTCCATCTCTGGCAGGGGTCTCAGCTAGCTGATAAGTCTTTTGTGCCCATGGAGATTTTTTTTTTTAATTTTTTTCCTGGAATAACATTTGCTTCTAGTTTAATAGAGTTTGGTGGTCTGTACCCTATCGTTGTATGACCCCCAGGGACTCAACAGCTGGGAACCCAGACAATGGCTCTGTTGCTGCTGCTAAAGATAGTTCTAACTAAAACTCTACTGTTCTGATAGAACTCAAGATTCAAAGGCTAATATGGAAACCTGTGAGCTCAGAGAGTTAGAATAACATCTGTCTAACTTTCTCTTTGCGCTGGCAACCAGGAAGTCACTCCCTTCCACACTGTTCCAACTAAGAAAAACAAAAACAAAAAACAAAACAAAGCATGCTAAGCTCCTCCCTGCTACTTCCTGTCAACCAGTTTGCTAACCCCGCCTTTTTGAACCCGGGTGAATTTTATTTAACTAATACGAATGCAACACATCTTTACATAGTTAACAAATGCAGCATGAGCAAATGTGACACATTTTTGCTCGGTTAAACAAATATTCCCCAACAAATAAATGTTAAACTAGAATAATTAAAATAAAGAATAGAAAGACCATGTGAAAATTACAAAAAAAAAGGAACCTAAAACCAACAATTGTCTTTCTGAAAAGACAAGTGAATAACTCTGTAAGTATCTATCCAGAGGCAAAAAAACTTTAAATAAAAAAAAGTTAGATGACAGATTATATCTGATACTATAGAAACACAAAGGATCATAAGACACAGCTTTGAAAAACTGTATACCAACAATTAAATAACATGAAATAAATAGGTAAAAAAAAACTTACCAAGATTTAATGTGAAGAAATAGAAAATCCGAACACACACCAATAATATATCAAGAGATTTAACATAATTAAAAATTAACTTGGTAGTGGTGGCAGCACACACCTTTAATTCCAGCACTTGGAAGGCAGAGATTAGGCAGGACTCTGTGTTTCTGAGGCTAGCCTGATCTACAGAGTGAGTTCCAGGACAGCTTGGGCTACACAGAGAAACCCCGTCTAGAAGCCCCCCCAAAATAATTGAAAACTTTCCAACAAATAAAAATCCAAAGACAGTGATTTGCGATGAAAACACTAAAATCTGTATTTCTCATGCTCTTCTAAATAGTTAAAAGGAAGAAAAACATTCAGACTTATTTTGTAGAGCCAGCACTACTTGTGATCAAAGTCAGACAATGATACTATAAGAAAAGAAATCTATATGCCAATGAAAGACCTGGATAAATCCAGACCCCTGTAGCAGAAAAAAATATAGAACCAAAAATCTAAGCAGGGAGAGAAGAATCAAAAAGCTAGATTAACCGGTTCAGTGGCTTTGTTTCAGGAACTAGCTGAAGATAAAGCTAGATTATAATCTTGAGAAACAGGAAGTTACCCCCTTGTGATTATCACTGGAATTTTTAGAATTTTCCAGTGGCACCCTCCCTACCCCCTTTGGATGGTTTCTTCCCTTAAATACTCCTTCTCCCAGCTACTCGGGGTCAAACTATCTACCCATGCATGGGAAATGAGTTTCAGCCCCAGTGCCCTGGTTCCTGTCCTGTCAATAAACCTCGTGTGATTGCAGCAAGGACGGTCTCTCGTGAGTTCCTGGAGGTCGTGTTATCCTGAGACTTGAGTGACAGTTTCCCTGCTCCAGAGGTCTTCTACCAATATTATTGATAGACATAGGAACTGACTCCTGAACAGGACTCTAACAAGCTAAATTCAACTGTTTGTTTGTTTGTTTCCATTTTTCTTTTGAGAGATCATTTAGCATGACAAAATGGAATTTCCTATTGGAATGTGTGGGTGGTACCATTTGAATGTGAAATGCTGCCTTAGGCTCAGGTAATCTGAACACTTGGGTCCCCAACTGTTGGTGCAGTTTGGAAAACTGAGAAACACTGGGAGATGTAGCTTCACAGGAGAACGTGTGTCACTGGAGGTGGGCCTTAAGGTTCTATAGCCCAGATTCCCTTCCTATTCTCTGCTGCCTAGTTGCAGATATAATGTGACCAGCTACCTCAGATCCTATGTCCTTACCTTTCTTGCCTCCATGGCTGTAACCTTCAAATTGTAAGCCAAAGCAAACTCTTCATCCTTTAAATTACTTCTTATAAGGTATTTGGTCACAGCAACAAGAAAAGTAACTTGTATAGAAGTTGGTATCAGGAGTGGGGTTGCTGCTGTGATAGACCTGACCATATGACTCTCTGGCCTTTGGAAATGGTTTGGGATAGCCAGGAAGGGCTTGGAGCTTCAGGCTGGAGGAGCTCTAGGACACCAGAAAGCAGAGCTTAAGGCGCCATTCTGATAAACATTTGAGAGATAAAAATTCTGAGAGAATTGTTGACAGTGTACTGGCTCTTGAGGCTCCAAAGAAGAATCAGGGGTTAATACGGAACTGGGCTAGAGATCATTAAAAGCGTTATTGTGACAAAGAATCTGGGTTCTTTTTAACCATGTCCTAAGGACTTAATTGGGGCAGAATCCAAAAGTCACAGCTTAATCTGCTGTACACAAGTCAGTCTCAGGCTGTGACATAGTTACCACCCACCACTTTCCTCCTAAGTGAAAAAGAGCAACAGGGGGGACAGAAAAAAAATATGCAAACCATGCAATTTTATTAAGAAACGAGCATGAGCAAAGTTAGCGTGGCTGACAAGGCCGGGGCTGAGAATCAGTGAAGCTGTTGAAGAGGTTAACACCATAAAGAAAGAAAAAAAGAGTTCTGTCCCAGAACAATAAGAAAAGTGCCCTGAGGGTATGACCGCATCCTTCATACATTCCATCCTAAGATGATGTAAATACAATTGAAAGGAAAGACCTTGAACTGAAAATACAGCTAATTAGTTCCCTAATCTAAAACACTTGCCTAAAAGTGTGTTTTCCTGACCCAGAAACCAATACATACAGAGGCCACTACAATTTCGCTATTTCTTTAATCTGACAGCAGAACTTGATAGTGTCATCCATGAGGGACCAGTTTTGCAGCAAAATAAAACCCACCTTGCAATACAGATCATAGGATATTGAAGATACCAAAATTCTAAGATGTCCGTCGAGAAAAGTTGCAGTATAGGATGGAGCTGGGCCTCAAGAGAGGGCACACTTGCAGCAGGTGGCAGAAGGAGAGCTGCTCACTGCTGTTGCATTCCAAGTGATTTCAGCATGAGATCCCTGTGTCAGACACAGAGACGCCAAGTTTGCCGTTTACCTTCGTCTTTCCTTGTTAAGCCCCGATTCTCCCCTGTGGAACAATAATGTTGACTTTAGGTCAGGTGTTGGAAGCGTATACCTTGTTGTGGTTTGGGGAATTTTGTTTGTTTGTTTGTTTGTTTTTAATGTAACAGGGACACTCGCAGTGAAGAGTCTCAAGACTTGACCTTGAATAATCTTTGGACTATTAAAGACTACAGGGAATTTTAAGAAGGAAAAAAGACATTTTGAAGCATGAGATTGCCACGTGTCTAGGAGGGCCAAAGAAGAAATGCTATGGTTTAACTATACAAAGTCCTCCAGAGTTTCCCGTGTTGAAGCACTTGAGCCTCAGCTAATGATCATGTTTTAGGAGGCAGACTCTTGCTGTAGGAAGCTGGCCGCTATGGGAGGATGGTTTTATGTCCTTGTCTCATTTCTTGCCTGCTGTCTACTGCCTGCTGCCTACTCCAGATGCTCTGTGAACAGCTGCCTCCTTCTGCTGCTGCCCTCTGCTCTACCATTATAAACCAGACTAAACTTGTTCCTTCTTTTTCTTCCTTTTTCATTTCTTTTTTTCTTTCTTTCTTTTTTTTTTTTTTTTCTTTTTGAGACAGGACAACCTTAGCCGTTTTAAAATTCACTCGGTAGCCCAGGCTGGCCTCGAACTCACAGAAGTACACCCGCCTCTGCCTCTTGAATGCTGGAATTAAAGAGGTATGTTATGACCTCCCAGCCTAAACTTGCTCCCTCTTAAATTGTTTCCCACGGGGTATTTAGTCACATAAAAGTAATACAAATGGCTTAATACATGACAATCAATAAACATTATGTTATAACAAAACAGACAAAAACTGCATGATCACTTCAGTAGATGAAGAAAGGAGATGACAAAGCTGAACATCCTTTCATGATATTAGCAAAGTACAGAAGTAATGCATCTTTTGTTGTTGTTGTTTGGTTTTGTTTGTTTTTCGTAACAGGGTTTCTCTGTATAGCCCGGGCTGTCCTGGTACTCACTCTGTAGACCAGGCTGACCTCAAACTCAGAGATTTGCCTGCTTTGGCCTGGGATCAAAGGTATCCACTGCCACCACCACCTGGCTAAGTAACATATGTTAACCTAACAAAGGGCACATACAACATGCTTATAGCAACATCATATTCAACTGCTAAAAACCATGGAACTTTTGTTTTCCTCTTGCATCAGAACAATACAAGAATGTTCATTTGTGCTGGTACTGCTCAACATAGAGTTAACACTAGACAGAATAATAAGAGAAAATTAAATAATTAAATCAAAGATAAACAGGTTATAAAAAAATGTTAAATTGACATGATCTTATATATAGAAAGCTTTAAAAGTCTATTAAAAAATTTTTAAAATTAATTTTAAAAACTCACCTCAGGATACAGAGTCAACCCACAACTATCTGTAGCATTTCTATACATTAACATCAAACAAATAGAAAAGAAACTATGAAAACAATTCATTCACAATACCATAAAATTTAAACATTTGGGAATTAATTTAACTAAGGTGATAAAATATCAATATCCTGGAAACTGATGAAAGAAAGCAAATAGAATATGAACAAATAGGTGTACATCCTTCATCATGGATTTGAGAACTGATGTTAAAATTTCTTGGCAAGCAGGATTGCCCAGTGGGTAAAGATGATTGTATTAATCTGTCCTGTCCCTTTAAGAGGCAAGTCTCATCCACTCCCTCCCCCATTCACTGTGGCAGGCAAATCTTCCTTCCTGCTTGCAGCCTTAGTCTCTTCCTTTTTGGTCTCCCTCTTGAAGAGGCAGTTTCTCTGCCTCTCTCTCTCTCTCTCTCTCTCTCTCTCTCTCTCTCTCTCTCTCCTCTTCCCCCTTGTCTCTTTCTCTTCCATAACTCACTAAATGAATATTCAACCTCATGCTGCATGGTGTGCCTTTCCATGTCTCAGTCCCTGCCCAGGACCCCCTGCCTTCAGAGACTTGCAATGTGGTCTCATGGTGTGCCCATCCGTCTGTCTCTCTTTGTGGCCTGCTGCAGCCGCTTGGGGAACTGTGCTGTCCCTGCCTGGCACTGGCTGTTCTCGGGACCCGCTATTTGCTGCCTACCCACCACATGATCCATTGCCAACTGCCACCACTCTGGGGACCTGCAGTGTTTCTGCCACTGCAGCTGCCAGAGTACCTACGACATTTTTTATTTAATCCATTTCATTGGTGCTGTGAGACTCAGGGGGTTCTCCCACCCCTAACCCCTCTCCTGGAGATGGGATCCAGAACCAGGTATTTTTTTTTTCCCACAACAACCACGGGTTCCAGGCCCACTACCTGCTGCCACTGCTCAAGGACCCTGCAGCATTTTTAATTAATCCATTACAGTGATTGCTGCCAAGACTGAAGATCTAACTTCAATCCTGGTAATTGCAACTATAGAAAGAGAGAATCAGCTCCCACAAGGTGTCCTCAGACTTCCACATGTGCTCCATGACACATCTGCCTGTATGTATACACACAAAAATGAATATAAAAATATAAGTAAAATAAAATACCTATACTGCCCAAAGTTATATATAGATGCAATGATGTTGCTCTCAAAATTCTAAGGCATTTTTCACAGAAGTAGAAAAATATAAAAAATTTTATAGAACCACAAAATATTCCAAATAACTTCAACAAAACTTTACATAAAAGAACAAAGTTAAAAATGACATAAGTCTTGATTTTACAATATAGTGAGAGTAACATTTTTATCTAAAATCTACAACACTTAAATCAAAATAACTTGATAGTGGCACAAAAATAGATATGTGGACTAATGGCACATAATAGAGACCTCCATAAATAAGGTAATGCAGATGCAGTCATCAAACCTTTGCCAAAGGCATCAAAAATACCCCTGGGGAAAGACAGTCTCTTCAATAACTAGTATTAAGAAAACTATTCATGAAATGAATTAAATAAAAAATGCTGCAGGTCCCTGAGTGGTGGCAGTGGGCGTTGGGGCACGTGGCGAGCAGGCAGCAAACAGTGGGTCCTGAGAGCAGTCAGTCCCAGGCAGGGATAGCGCAGTTCCCCTAGTAGCTGCAGCAGGCCACGAGGAGAGAGAGATGGATGGGCACACCATGAGACTACGCCACTGGTCTCTAAAGGCGCCTGGTCCCAGGCAGGGAGCCACGCAGCAGGCGAGAGACAGAGACATGGATAGGCACTCCATGCAGAGTGAGGATGGATATTTATTTAGTGGGTTATGGAAGGGGAGGGGTAGAAGAAGAAGAAGAAGAAGAAGAAGAAGAAGAAGAAGAAGAAGAAGAAGAAGAAGAAGAAGAAGAAGAAGAAGAAGAAGAAGAAGAAGAAAGAGAGAGAGAGAAGAGGAGAGGAGAGAAGAAGAGAGGAGAGAGACAGAAGGGAAGGGAGAGAAAGGAGAAACAGAAGCTACCTCTTTGAGAGGGAGATGGAAAAGGAAGAAACTCAGGCTGCAAGTAGGAAGGAAGATCGGCCTGCCTCGGCAGATAGGGGAGGGAGTGGGTGTGGCTTGTCTCTTAAAGGGACAGAACAGATCATTGCATTCCCATCTCCTTTTCATAATAAAAAGTCAGGATGTTAGGCACCACAGGTAAAAAGAATTGGGGGTGGCAGATTCTCAAGACTGCTTCCTGTTTATTTGTGGGCATCATCTTGGGAAGGTGGGAACTTGAGACAGCTGGGTGCTGTCACATCCTGGCATAGCTGGTCTTTCTGTTCCTTTCCGTTGTTTGTAGTATTGAAATGTCTGATGTCTCTTATACCTGTTTAAGGTACTGGCAGAACAGAGGAAAACGTTAAGTTTAGGAAATAAAATTAGGACCATGGAATTGAGAGGGGTGTATCTAACCTATTTAAGGTGGATCCTTGGATTCGGCTCCCTGGAACTCACAAGAATTCTTTGTTCTTGTGAAAACAGAAGCTTCAGACATATACATTATATAAACAGTAGCACATTCATGTCAGAATGACTGTGACATATATTTTTGCACAATGAAAAGTATCTTTAAGACTATGGAAGGCAGCAGGAGAGAGAAATTTGATAGCATGCACTTGTCCTCACACCTTTATAGCTCGTAGGTCTTATATTTGTATTTTACTGAAATTTATTTGGTGAGGTTGTCCTTTTAAACTGACAAACCCTCTCAGTTGTCAAACTGCATCAGAGATCTTTGAGAAGGATAAAATTTTACTTGAGTTACTGACTAAAAACGACAGAGAACTTACTTGGTTGGCACCTAGAGCTACTCCTCAGGGTCCTCTATGGTCACCGAAGATCATATTTGCCTTCTGCTATTTAGCACAGGGCCTATCAGGCTTCAGAAGATTCTGTGGCTAAGAAATCTGTAGGAAGACAAGCCTACCTTGACCAGAGCAGCTAAGCTATCGATTCCAGAGATTCTGTCCACATCTGGAGATCTTCAGTTTATATAAAAGGCAGTTTTTCCCAGTGATCAGTGGTTGGCAACTGAAGCGAATTGCAGATGGACATTATTCTGTGCCCATTTATCTGTTGTCTTCTTTGGTGGAAGTAGAGTGCTGCTAGAAGCCAAACTGTCTCTTTTTGTTATGAAAAGTTTTTTAATAACAAATATTTAAATGGCATATTCTCCAGATCTCTGAGCAGTTGAAGGCTGTTTATCAGGTAAAACTACAGCATAGAATCTGTCTGGAGAGCTGGGTCTGAGCTTGACTGTACTGGCTCATAACTTAACAGGTAAGATTTATACTTGTAAAAAAAACAGAAAGAAGAAAAAACTACTTGCAATAGAAGGTTAACGGCAGAACTGGCAATAGTAGAGAACAGCTTAATATATCTTAAATGAGGGGTGGATTAAATATAAAGGTTTTTGCAAGAGACTTGAAAGTACATACCAGTTTAAAACATGAGACTTATTGTTTTTGTAGTCTGAAATGAGATGCAGGGAACAGACAATTATAACAGTAAACATAGGTGCATTTAGGTTACATGTATGAACACACACACATAGAGTGAACAGGAATTGGGTGAAGTGGATGCTTTTGGTGG